ACCTTGTGGTGCCTCAAGGGATGGTTTTGCAATCACGCTGAGCCTAATTGACAAACATGTTGTGCTTGCGCGAAGTCCTCAAAGATTTCATAGCACGTCAGCAAATATGCTACTGTTTGCCGTTCAGTGTGGCATTGCTGGGTTGGTGTCAGTGCAGTGGAACTGTGGTAGAACAACCTGTGATTTGATTCCAACCAGCTCACCCATAAAAATCATCTGTCAGCCCATGCTGTTATTCATGGAGGGGCACCTGTGTGGCCGGGTTGGATTAGCTGAACATTAGCGTCGGGTTTAAATTACAAGGAGAACAATGTGATGGAGGTAGACTTAAAACATGGAGCTTTGCCATTATGGGGAAAGCAAGCAGCAGCGAGAGCTGCTGTGATTTCAGCTTCTTCAGTAACTCTTGTTTGCGAATGAGAAGAAATAGAAGAATCCAGCCTAAGGTAACAGTGGTTGGCATTTGTTTTTATTGTTTGATGTACAAATGTTTGTATTAGGTTATGACATACCTGTTGTGTGGAATGGAAAAGAACTATAACAATGGAAAATAAATTTCCAATAATTGGAAAACAGAAAGAAGACAGTTTGAGCAGTTGTTCCATCTACCATCAGTTCCATATGATATTTTTATGGGATTAATCATTATTTAAATTTGTTTGGAGAAGGGGAGTTAAGATGATAATTTTTAGTGAAAACATTAACATTACTAATGCTGCAAAGTTAAGAACTGTTAACATTTTTAAGTTACAGGAATATCTTACAGGTTTCTGCATAAACGGTGAGCAAAAGCTTAATTTGTAGAATCCCAGACTTCCTAGGGTTCTGCAAAAGGTTTCAAACTGAGCTTTTGGTTTATGTGAGATGCTTTGTAGTTTATTAAAAATTTATGTATGTTGTAGACAGCCAGTCTATTTTTTATTTTAGAGAAAAGAAGATATTCTATAGAGATCTCAGTGACTTGTATTTATCTGAAATCAAAAGTTCTGCCTTTTAAAAAATGTGTTTTTTTAAGTTTAAAGCTAACATTTGATCATTTTGTTTAAATGGACCTTCTACAGGAAAACCAGTGTGAGAGGTCATTCATTGATGTGCTACTAATTTTATACCAGTATACCCCTTTAAAGTAATGAAATTGTGAAATGATGCCCCTGGATTTTGTCCCCAGATGGCACTGTTTTGGAAGTTACCTGAATGTATAGGTGAATTGCCTGGTGTCAGTAGTATTTGGGAAGGTATTTCATAATGTAGTTATGAACTATACAAGGACTGAGAGGCCTCGATTCCTCTGGGCTAGCATCTCCACCTTGCACTTCCATTCATCACAGGGGTGACGCAGATGTTTCCGGAGTTTGACCTGCAGATTGGTAGAAACTGTTGGAACTCTTTCTTGAAAGGAAGATCTTGCAAGGCTTTCAGGGCGTGATAGGGAAGTCTAAAATTCTTTTCCATCAGGATAATGATCTTATTTGTCTATCTTCTTTTTTTTGCCCATGACTTTTCAACACATCTAGAGCTACATTTCATCTATGCATCCCACTCGATTTAAATCAGATTCTCTGGTCCGTGTCCAATCCCTGCTTTTCATGTGATTCCTCTTCAGTTTGTGAGTCCAGGAATAACCGTATTTTCTGTTCTTGGAATAGCCCTAAGAACAGATTGATGCTGTAGAAAAACCTGTTTGAGCACTGATTTCCAGGCTATGTCGTTTGTTTGCCCAGTCGGTTTCCTAGAAATGATGATGTTGCTACAGTGCTGGTGGCTTCCTGCAGTGAAACAGCTGCTTGGAAAATCCCCATGTACCCAAATTCTATTTGACTTCAGTCACGGACCCTCGCTCAGACATTAGGAGTTATCTCCAAGGTTATGATAATTATGTCCTTAGCTAGACAATGCCTTAATTTCCTCCTATGTAAAACTGCACCATGATTCTTACCTAGCCCTTTTAGAATCGAACAGCATTATTAATTTGTTTTTCTTATTTGCCAGGAGAAAGAGCAGATCCTAACTATGATACAAATTGTTAAAAAACTAAACAGCCAACTTCCTAGCAAATAATCTAAATGTTTGGAACTTGACTTAAACATACCCCAAGCTTTTGCAGTCTTCTGTGGAAGACGCATCCTAAAGGAGTCAGAAACTGTGTGACTGGCTTTTCCATTTCCAGCAGACTTGGACTAGTTGGTCCATCTGATGGGATCTTTGCCCGAGTGAATGTATGCAAAACCTTACATCACCCATTCCCTTTGCACTGATTTTGCAACAGTCTTACTGACATAGTTCATATGCTTTATTACATCAAATAGAACAGGAGCGATTGAAGAAGTTTTCTGGTAACTCCACTCACATTATTCTTTAGGGACTTGTGGTCTTCACCTTCTAGCAAAGCCTGTATGCGTGCCACAGCACAGGGCTGGGGACAAAGGGATATAAAAATTCGGGGTAGCTAGTCTACATTATTTGCATAAGCTCCTTCTCAGCCAAGCCCAAGCCATTAAAAGGACAGGGGCACTTCCACAGGGAAATTTCTTTACCTTGAACATTTAAGCTAAGATTGAATGAACCCTCTTCCCACTCCAGAATGACTGTTCCTTTGCAGGGAAAGTTCTTTAATTTCCTTCACCTCTAATACTATTCTATTTCACAGAGAGTTTGCCAAACTTAATAAATTTGTAGTTAATGTTTTGTCTATGTGATGATCACAGCCAGTGATTGCATCCACAAGGAATTTATCTACCATTGCACTTACCTCCTTAAATATCTTTCAAAAATGTGTATTTTTTTAAAAATGACAACAACCACAAATATTTCCTTCAAAGTTAACAAAACTGCTCTGTAATTTACAGCTGAAACATTTTATGCACTCCTTTTTACTTCAGTGTATCATGATTTAAACTCTTGCTTTGGGAGTATTGTTGAGAAATGTAGGAGAAAACTTCATACAGTTTCTTGAGTTGTCAAAAATTAGTTGGTCTTCTTCAGTTATGAGAAAAGAATCATCCTAGAGATTGTTTTTATTTCTGCATGACTTAGCATGGTAAATTTGAATACGCTTACAAGAAAGTAATAAAATGAGGAGAACAGAAAGCATTACAAAGAACAGAAATAAATCAAAGAAAATAAAGCAGAGGACATTCTTCTTACTGGAGGACAGTTGAAAGCATGGTCAGATCTGTCTTTCACTCCTTTCTATGTAGGCTGTCCTGGGAATGCTAGTAGTTTCTCAAGAAAAACATTTCTGTCAACACCTGAAGAGGAAAGTTATGGCCCAGAGGGCTGTGGAGCTGCAAAAAGGTGTATTATAAATCTTCTAATTAAGAGAATGGCTGTGATACAACAAGCCAGAGGGAATGCTGTATGCAGCTTTCTGTCATGTACTCCACCTCACGTAGCCCAGCACAGCTGGTTGAAAGAAGAACACTGAGTGCTATTAACAAGTGCCAGAAGTGACCAGGGTACTTCCCCATCTATGTGGTGCATAAACGTGGTATCAACAGTGGACTGCACTGATAACTTCCAGTATCACAAATCTATGAGTTATATATGACACAGACTACAGGAGTTAAATCTCTTCTTGTGAACCTTGGTGTGAATTTATCAGAAATGCTTGAATGTACCTGGGGGAGAGAAGAGTTGGACTGTAACTAGATGCATGTGCTTGCTCATGCTTGTTTGTCTGTATATGTTTGTATGTGAATAATTTAACTTAAACACATTTGATGCGTGTTTGTGCTGTCTAATTTGTATTCCAGCATATGACATCTCCATGCGTTCCCAGGGCTGAGCTTGCCCTGCTGTCATGACAGTCTGTGTGGTTATATGGCTAGAGAATGAGAAGTCTCTCTTGTATGTGAGATGTAATACTGGGGAGGAATTTTTGGCTAGAGAGTTGCCAGGCTTGGAAGAATGGAAAAGTGGGAGTGATAGAAATGGGAGTGATGTGGCTTTTAGGATGGTGCACCTCAGCAATTGCATTAGGCAAGGACATTGAGTGGACCTCCACGAAGGCAAAAGAATAACTGTTTGTCCTTTGACCACACTGTGGAAAGTGGTGCCCATTCCAGGAGCATCAGTAAAAGTGGCAGCCTTCTAGAATAGCTTCTGTGGGTGAGCATGTATTTCTTCTTTGAAAACCCTGGTTTCTGAGTGAAAGTAGAACTATTCTGGGTTGTCAGCAGATTTAAGACGAGCAGGGAACATGCCATTCCTTGGCTGTATGAAGGAGGAGAGCACATTATATTTTCAGTTTTACATATTCCCCTAAGATGGTGGGGGGATAGGTACGCCTCCATCAATGCTCCATCACACATGCACAACACCCAAAAGAGGAAAAGGAAAGACAGGATGGCAGCTAAGCTCTGTCTCACTATCTACACCAAAATGCGAGCCTCAGTATCTCATGGGACAGAGCAGCTCTGCACTGACGCCAGCAAGAACCACAGACCAAGGTGCCACAATTTGGTCCTCAGTAAATGACACATAATGTCCAATGAGAAATCAATCATTCAGGTATTGATTTATTTTCGTTTTCCAGACTGGCAGTCTTGGTGAATATTTTACTCACTGTATAGCAAGGTTGCTGTGACAAATTTTGAAAAAACACAAGTTCAAGTGTTTTTTGGTTTCACAAGCACATGAGCTCAGTGAGAAAGAACAGACTGAGACGGCAAGGAGAACAGCCAATCCTGTTATATTTGTCTTTCTTATTACTGACTTGCCATGATAAATATGGAAAATTATATTTGGCTAGAAGGAGGCTGAGAAAAAGAACAGATGGCCACCAAAAGAATACTAGAGCAGCTAATAGTCACTGGCATATTTCCGGGATAAAAATTTAAATCTGAAATCAAGCAGAAGGGTTATCCATTTTTTTTCTGATCAGGGTACTGTGTATGAAACTGATCCTGCTATGCTCTGACTAGATGAAGGTGGGCTTCCTGAAATGCATTCACCGAATGGAATAAACAACCTCTATCCTGCAGTTAACGGCTCTTGCAGTTATGCTGACAGAAATAGTTGACAAGGTGGGGAAAATGTTTACGTTCTTACTATATTTTGAGTGAGTGAGATGACTGCATTTGCTGTGGCTTTTTAATATATTGCATGATTGAACACCTCCATTGCATGTATGTATTCTGCAGTCTTTGTTGAGTTTTGATAGAGAGAAGAAAGTGCCCATTTAAATGAGGAGACAATGGAATCTGTATGTTATATAGCTGTGTATTTAATAATTTCTAAAATTTTAATGCATTTCTGATTACTACAGTCAAGTACTGAAAAAAAGAAGCTGACATTTAGGGAATTATGTGAATGTGTTACAGTTTCTGATTTTGCAGAATGCTGTATGCTTAGTACCTAAAACTCCTTATGACTGCAGACTAGGTAGTGAATGAGGACGTTGTTCTGTTTCGGGAGTGATAATTGAAATTAGCAAGGTAATGATTTGAAGGTCTGGAATAGCAGGAGGTGATAGTTTGGGATTGAAGTGCAATATTAGAGTTGTAGGACAGGCAGAATGTTATAGAAGTATGACAGCCGGGAGTGAAATGGAGTGGAATAGCAACAGTTGCTGCAGTTTTTCTTTCGAGTGTATCTGCCAGAATTAAACCAGTTGCAACAGCTCAACTGTAGATCCCGTACTAGATGTACAGGATTTTGCTAGAGCAGCAGCTGATGGGTCATCTGGATCAAGACCATCAAATAAGTTGCTGTGTGGACTCACTTATCAATCCAGCTGCTCCGCCTTCAGCCACCAGCAGGACTGCTGTAGGCACAGATCAGTTTTTCCACGGCTAAAAGATTATGCTCTTTATCTGTTTGGGGGAATGTTAGGAGAGTTGGTCAGTTATTGATTTTAAGGTGTTTTGAATAAATTGTCCAAAGAGCACTGAAGAACTACAAACCCTTAATAAGTAGGTTTTGAGAAAGAGAGACAAAGAGAATCACAAATGTCGGTGATTCAAAAAAAGGCATGGCCATGGGCTGATGGACTGATTTTGCTTTTGCAGCGTAGTAGGAGAAATGTCGTCATGCCCTGGAGCTCGCTCACCTCCTTCCTTAGCTCTTGCTGAGTTTTAAAGACATTTTGTGAGTTGTTCATGCTCTATTAGTAAATGCAATATATTTTGTAATTTATATTTAGTAATACAGATACTTCTGCATAGCCTTTTAAAATTATTGCTAAGAAATAAAATGCCATTTTGGAGTGAAGACTCTGCAATCTGTACAGGTATGTGAAGTCCACTGTTTCTTTGGTTTTCAGTGATGGCTGTTTCTCTCTGAAATCCTGGCTTTATAATGACTTGTAGTTAGGAAAGCACAAAGTGGTTAAGCAACTGTCTCTAAAGAGTGTAAAGTTTTCATCAGCTCCAGAAACTGAAGAACAAAGCTAGCTGGCAGTAAAGTGTAGATGAGGTGTGGAAAAAAGTATAACGTGCACTGAAATTAGTAGTCTTGCTAAGACCTGGGTTGATATATCTAGTAGACTTATGAATGTAGATCCCAAACTCATCTTCAGAACAGATGTGATTCTCCCTTGAAATGCAGGATATTTAATTTGCATGTGAAGCGTTTGCCTGTAAAAATACTCTGGCACTGGGTTTTCCATAGATCATCTATGTAAATTCACACTGGAGTATAGTGGCCACAGGGACATTGGGTGCACTGGGCAAAGAATATTATGCTCTAGGACATTCATATATTGGATGCAATAATCCAGTGGTTCTCTTCTGAGGGCATTTGTTGCGGTGGCTCTGGGGATGTTTTCGATTGACGGTGCCTCATCCCTTGCCCCTGGCCAGCTGATCTCTAGTTCCAAAGATAGGAATCACTGACTCTGTCCTGCAAAGTCAGGTCTTAGTACCTTTGCCTTTCCTAAGATCTCTTCTGCTCCACAGATATCCGTGGGCTTTCCTCTCAAACTATATCTGATTATCATAATAAGGCTGAACCCTGAGCTGTTGTTCTCTGCTTGTTCTGAATCTGAAGTTTACCCTTTAAGCTTGCAGAAGGACTTTTTTATTTGTGTTTTTTTTTCTCCTCTGACTTTTCAAATGAAAAGAAAGGGAAAATACCTACCATGGACACTAACAGCACAGCTGTCCAAAGGGCAGTTTCTAGCTGGTCTGCCCAGCTTTAGTCGTGTCTTCACAGTTGACAACGAGACAGTTGAACCTGCATGTCAGAGGGCAGCTTTTCCTTTGTGTGATCAGGTAGATTTGTACATAGAGTTTTCTCTCCATATTTAGTCTGGAAGTGTCTTCTGGAGCTCCCTAATCTAACCTCATCTCCAAGGATGGAGATCCCACAGCCTCTCTGAGCACCTAGTCCATACTTGCAGAGCCGGATGTGTCAGAGCCATTGTACATGTATGTTCAGCTTGATCTGCACCTTTGTAGCAATGCCGATGTGCCCCGGAGAGATCTGGGTCACTGTATGTGCATGGATCGGTTTGTACACAAGCATCCCTCACCCACTACAGCTCCTATGTATATGCAGTGTATTGGCACAGATGCAGCAGTCTCATCTGCTCCTCCAGCATGCAGACGTATTTTCATGTGGAGTAACTGAAGTCCATGACAAATGCCTTTAAAAATTGATCCTCTGGCACTGGATAGGCTAAAAGTCATTCTAAAGAGCGATGGCTTTATCATCAGCCAGTGCTCTGCCCATTTAAGAATGTGTGACAGGTACAGGTCATGGAAGCCCCGGCCGCAAAACAGATGAAGAAGAATACCATGCTGCTTCATTTAAGCAGTTTTCGTCTGCAGTTCACATCCATAAGATGATTTTGGCTGTAAATTTGTCATTTTGAAACTCTAAAGCTCCCCACTTGTGCTTCCAAGTTTCTCTGTTCCTAGAGAAAATATTGCTGTTCTACTGCTTCAGAACTCCTATAGTGGAATTGCTGTGTCTAACTGGTTAAAGGTAATTTTTTTGACTAGGAGTAAATCGTAGAATCATAGAATCATAGAATAGTAAGGGTTGGAAGGGACCTTAAAGATCATCTGGTTCCAACCCCCCTGCCATGAGCAAATGACATTGTGTCTCAGAGTCCAAGGACAGGGGCGTACACCTGACCAAACCCAGTGGGGTCCAGTCCTGCCTGTAGAGCAGAGTTCCAAGGTGCTGTAGCCACAGAGTTTTCAGCATCTAAATTACTGTAAAGACTTGTTAAATTCACTACAGTCTGTTATTGGACAGAAATGTACAGTGCTATTTATCAGGTTCATTTTTACAAAAAAGCTGCTGAAAGCACTAGTAGAATCTTAAAACATTATGAGCTTCTTAGCACTTTGCCTGTGTTCCTTTTTTTGTATTTGGTGCTAATATTATCTGTCGATTGGAGCCAATGGGTTTTCTTCTATATCTCCGTTCTGTGTTTTTATAAAATCCGTGCCACAAGTTGAATCAGTTTAATGCTGTATTAACAGTGGAGGGGCTCACAATCTATCTCGCGAGGCAGTTTAAAGCTGTCCTTCCAAGCAGACTCGCTATCTGCTTTCGAGCACATATTTAGGGATGGCAAAGGCCCCCCTTCCCCTCCACTGGCCACATGGCCCTGTCAAGCATGCTGAGAGGCATAATAGGCAAAGCAAGCTGTCTCTGCACCTGCCCACAAAGCAGCTGTTCGACTGGGAGAGGGACTGCTAGAGCGCAGAGCGTTTTCAGCAGCTTTTGTGGTCCTCTCTCATACACTGCGTTGGCACAGGCATTGCCACAAAGGAAAGAAGCACAGAAACCATACAGAGATTTCAGGATTTTTCCCCAGAAGAATTTTTATCAAAGCGTCATTTAATGTTTGCAGTCTTCCCATGTGGATGCGTTTTCTCAGTCTCAGCTGACTGTTCAAGAGAGAAATCATCTGGGACCTAACAGAGTCTTCCACCAGGTACGTGACTCTTCGGCTGACTTGAAAAATATCTGAATGCTTCTTTTCTAAAAGATTCCTTACAATAAATTAATCTGAGCAGGGGGAGGTCCTTGCTTCCCTGCCCACTTCCATTTCCCCTGTAGCTGTATGACTGTCCCAAGTGCCTGCGAGTATTTTGGTTTTGCATTTGAGATATTCTTCTGCCTTGCCACTTTTGTTTCTTGAAACTTTCATCAAAACTCCTCTGGAATCTCAATTCTAAGGTTTTAAAGCCTCTTCTACAGTATTAGAAAACTTACTCATTGAAGATGGTTGGATTGAGAGCTTTGTTTCTTTGCTTTTTGAGAAAATACCAAACCTCTCCTTTGTTGTCAAAAGCTTGACAAATATGTTTCTATCCTTCCCCAGTGACAAAAATTTCACAGGCTTATGTGGGTTGTAGCCTGAAGTCTCTGGACTTTGTCCTATATTTGATAGTGCATAGCTGATCTATTTCAGATCTATTTCAAAACAATTTTTTAAATTATTATTTACCGAAGAAATAATCTCCCTCAAAAATTTTCTTTGCTGCTATGAGTGTGATTTCTCTCACTTTTGATATCCAAGAACATTGGAGGTCCTAACCTTCACAAAATCACATCCTTAAATGACTGACTTTAAAGAATGAGTGGTATAGAAATGTTTTGCAAATAACAAATGGGAGAAGTCTAAAGGAAGGACTAATAATCCTGGAGTTTTCAAATGAGTATAAGCATTTATTTTTCAGCAAATTTTGGGCAGGACTTCTTTTTTCCTCACTACCGAGGGGTGCAACAAAGGGGCCTCATCAAAGTGAACTCCATGGGAAACGAGAGGCAAGGAAATATGGAGAAACCAGTTCAGGGAAGACCATCCCACCGTCTCCACCCCTGGTGTTTGGCAGCAGTCCAGTCCCAATTTCCCTTCCACCACTGGGAACAGCTAATGCTGTTGCCTGCCATTTACAGTTCCTGGTTGGTTATTACCCTACGTGTGCTTTATTTTCCCCACTCAAAGGAGCCCTGCTGCCCAGAACGGATGTTTGTTTTCCAAGCCCAACCACCTTCTCCAGCTGAAGCAGTCACTGCTCTGGTGCTGGTTGGAGGTGTTCTTGTGAGGAAACTTTCATGACCTAAATCACGCCAGGCTGCCTGGGCAAACTGCTCCTGCCCATTGGTACAACTGGGAGCTGCCGGAGAGCGTCAGCTCCTTTCCCCTGCGCCATTAGGTGTCAGAAGTGAACCATGCACATTTTCTGAGGGTTTAAATCCCTCTGTTGTTCGGAGGTGTTACAGAGAATTGCTTGCTAGGTCGCTATGTAACGTTTACTTGCGCTTTCTGTTTAGAAAATCAGTCGTGGTGTTCTTTCCCTCCCACATCTGGAAGGTCAAGCAAAGCATGGCTTGGTGGCAGACACGGCAAACCTTCCCCCCCTGGAAAGCAGCCTGCCTCAGATAACAAACACGAGTTTGCAGAATGTCCTCCCCTCTCTTCAGGTGAGTTATAAAGCTCTCGGACAGCTTGCATTTGCCTGGTTAGTCAGCTTCTCTCTAAGTACTGCTAAGAGTGTCAGTGGGAAAGCGTCGCGAGTGTGTTTGTGTGTGGGAGGAGAGGAATTCAGTGTCAGCATCTGCATCAGTTTCTGGTTTTAGCCACAGTTAAAGAGGAAAAAACAAAAAAAGAGGAAGAACTATAAATAGTCAGATAGATTACTTACCAGCGTGGTTGTGTCTCTCTCCAGATGTTTTAATGGACACCCAACAGGAAGTTTTTGAAGTCATCTTCACTTTTGGTATTCCTCCCTTCTCATTTTTTTCGCAAATCCCGTGTCCATCCCCTGTCTGTATGCTTCTTTCTTTGCTGCTTCTCTCCCCAACAGATCAGGGACCTGCACTACACAGCACCACTACTCTAATCAATCCCTTTCTCACCTTTCTTCTTCTTCAATGGAGTCTCTTTATTGAGAGATTTGACAGACTCTGTAGGGCTCTGATGGGAAGTCGTTCTAGATCTCTTGCACTGGAAGTCCCTACATAAAGCATTTTGTTTGGGAAGTCAAAGGTCTTCTCAAACACTTTGAAATTGGCAACTTGCTACTACTACAAATTCTTTAATTTGGTTTCGGCGGGTGTGCTACAAGATGCAACATAGCGTGAACGATGAGGTGCAATGGGTTAGTCTCCAAAATAACTTAAGTTTTCTTTAAAGCTTAATTCTGTGGCCTTCATAAGTCAAACCTGCACTCAGCTCCTACAAAAGCCTGTGACTGAGCTTTGCATCTGAAAATCAACCGTCCCTCCATTTCATTTTCTGTGAAGAGATGGGAGCCAAGCATTTTACAGAGGATTTTTATTATTCTTTAAATGGAATTTTTAGACTTATATAAGAAGATGTGTGAACACCAATAAGAAAGCCTTTTGCTTGGTTTAGAAATGTCAGGGGACAATAAACATTTCAATCTAGAAAGCATGATTATGTGCTGTCTGTTTTGGAGACGTTCCTTGTTTACCCTTCCTCAGAAACGACACAGCATTGCTGAACTGAGGGAGTGTGTGTTGGAATGGGCAGAGTGGAGTTCTCAAGCTGGGACTGAGCAGGTAGCAGTAGGACTGACCTGTGTCAGCACAGGCCTGTACTTGAGCTGTTGAAGTGGTGCCCCTCATACCTGGCTCCCCTGCTTTCGTAGCAGTTCATATTGCAAGAAAAGTAGCAAGGTTAGAGGCAAGTGCGGGAAGACGATTTCATTTCAAAAGAAACCCATTTTCACTCGTGCTAACACGTTCTTAACCCAAAACTCACAAGCACCAAGACGCATGTATCCAAGCGGTACCAGCCAGGAATTCTTGCAAGGATGTGGTGGACTAGTATTGCCCACTAGTTAGTCATATCACATCACCTGGGTTCTTCTTGTCTTGGCAGCCGTGTGCTGGTTATTGAATATGGCTTTTGTATCCTTCTGACACTGAAAGAAACTGATCGCTTGTGTCTCCATCTTGTCCCTGAGAGTCATCAGGACTTTCTCAAGGGATGAGAAATTTGAAATGAATTAAGGAATAATTTAGGTTGGAAGGGACTTCTGGAAGGCATCTAGCCCAACCTCCCACTACAAGGAGAGCAAACTTTGAGCAGGTTGCTCAGAGCCTTGTCCAGCTATGTTCTGAATGTCTCAAAGGTTGGATTGTCCACAGCTTCTGTGTGTATTCCTGTTGCAATAGTGAACCACTATGATGATAAAAAATGTTTCTCCTAGCATTTCCTGTGTTGCGACTTGTATCCATTAACCACATACCCGTCTTGTCCTAAAACCATGCACCCCTGAGAAGATTCTGGCTTTGCTTTCCCTATACCATCCTGCCAAGTAACTAGATAGCAGTGAGGTCACTCCTGAAGCTTCCTCTTCTGCAGGCTGAACAAATGTATTTCGTGCAGTCTCTCTTGGTACACTATGTGCTCCAGGCTCCTGACCATCCCCTGACCTCTCCCCTGAATTCACTTCAGTTGGTCAATACCTTTCTTGTACTGGGAAACCCCAGACTAGACGCCGGGATGTCACTAGTAACCAGTTGCCACTGATCACAGTCCTTGGAATCTGACCATCTAACTTATTTTCCACTCACATTATGATCCATTTATCCAGTTCATATCTCAGTCTTTGGGCTTCAAGCATACAGTAATGGGAGACAATGTCAGAGGCCCCGCTGAAGTCAAAGTGTACAATGTCCACTGCTTTTCTCTCGTTGGCCAAGCCAATCACTTTGTCAGAAAAGGCAATCAAGTTGTTCAGACACCATTTGCTCTCAACTCAGGCTGGATAATCCAGTAGGTGTGGTGTTTGACTTTTTGAAATGTTCAGGAACTGCTCCTGATTGCCATTGACTTTCAAAGATGATAGAGACCTGCCTTGCAATGACATTGGCCACCTCCTTCCACACCCTCAGGTGCATCTTGTCTGGTCCTGCAGACTTAGGTATGTCCAGCTACTTAAGTGGTCCTTAAATATCTTCCTCTACTGAAGGTAATGCTTCTTCACATAAATGCTACTTCTAGACTCAGGGACTTGGGAAGCCTGAGGGCAAAGCTTACCAATGAAAAGCATTGAGTACCTTGGTCTTTTCCAAATCCTTGGTCACTAGATCCCAAATTCCACTGGGCAGTGAGTTCACATTTCCCTTAGCCTTCCTTTTTTTGCTGATGATGTACTTACAGCAACTATTCTTATTGACTTTCACATCCCTTGCTCACTGCAATTCCAGCTGATCTTTGGCTTTCCCAGACATGCCTGCATGTTCAAGTAGTGTCTGTTGCTTGTAGCTTGGATAACCCATCCCTGCTTCTACTTTTTGTGTGCTCATTACTGTGTTTGCACCTGGCCAGAAGATCCCTTTTCATCCGTGCTTGCCTTCAGCAAAGTTTGCTCAACTTTCTGCAAGTTATAGTGGGCTATTCTTGTGCTTTAAGGAGATACATTGACTTTGAAGATCAATGAGCTCCTTTGATTTCCTTTGCCCTCCAGGGCAGTCTTCCATGTGTTTCTGATGAGAAGATCCCCGAACAAGCCAAAAGGTACTTTCCTGAAGACCAGAGTTTCCAATTCTGCTTGTCTCACTTCTCTGAAGATTTTAGACTCCACAATCACATGGTCACTGCAGCCAAAGCTCCCCTTTCCTTGACCTTTACATCGTGAACCAGTTGCTCCTTGCATGTGAGTGACAGGTCCAGCAATGCATCTTAGATCACCTGCATTAAGAACACAGTACTGTAATCTCCCAGAATGCTTTTGCCACTTCAGCAGATACTGAAGTGACTGAATTACCCCATGAGTATCAGGGTCTTCAGGTTATGATGACTCTTCCCTGATGTACCTAATAAAAGCACCTCATCACTGGGTTAGCAAAGATTTTTGCAGACAATCTTGCCATGCTTCATCAGATGCATCCTGTTTCTGCTCAACAGTTCTCGATCCTCATTCTATATTTGCAGAAACCATAGCCCTCTTTGTAGCTTCAGCCAGGTGTTGATCCACTGGATGCATCATTTCCAGCTGAGTCTTTTCTCCTCAAGAAGGGACTGAGGAGAACATGGCCTGGGCCCCCACGCTCTACATCCTTATGCCAGAGCACACTGTCTTCTGTTTCCTTATCTGGTGCTCTTTAATCTCCAACCCTCTATCGTCTCTTCATGGCTTGATTCTGTAGTTTGTCCTTTGTTTTCCCATTCTGGAAGCCCTGAGAATCTGCATGTGCTGGGGTGTTGATTACCTGCTGATACAGGTGACATCTGTATATCCTTTCTTCTGCAATTTGTTCCTTCAAGTGGTTCTGCACCCGCACAGGCCCATTCATTCCCCACTTGTACCAGTCTTCATGTTTCCATTCCAAATATGTGTGTGTGCAGACCCAAGCTGGTGTCCCTGCAGTTCTGTGAGCTGCACAAGCAATCTCAAGGGTTCTACCACAACCCTCCAGCAGATGTGCCCACATAGAAATCTGAGATGGGCAATGCCTGTTAGACTACCTTTCCTGCCCTTTGTACTAGGAAGACCATACTCAGACCCTACCCTAGTTCATGTGAGTTACTGCAACTTAACCAAACCATGGGAGTTTGTAGCATTTATTGAAAGAAAGAACCCATGTATTGAATGAACCTGGAAGATGAACTTCCGTCTTTTATATAGAGATTTATTTTTGCATGGTCCAGGAGCCTCTAGCTCTATCGGCAGAATTTGCTCTCTGGCTAAGGTGTTCTAGTCCCCAAGCATGCCTGTTCTGTCTCAGCACAAAATTGACATAAAGATCACTCAACAAATTCAAAATAAATATCTTGCAGCTTTGTCTCTGGAATGTAGCATATTTTATATATTTTTGTATGTTTATAATTGCAGATCAGCTGAATGTTCATGAAAATACCTGAAAACAAAATATATTTTTTTGTTTTTTTTTGCTTGGCAGGAAAATGGAACCCAAGGCAATTTTTTCCAATTTAACCTTCCGGACAGTCTTTCTGAAAGTGATACCAGAGCCCAGACAAAACCGTCAGAACTGGAAAGCACCACCACCAGTGTCAAACTGCCTATGACAGCTGCAGGTAGAATATAAGTGAATACACTAGAAAGACTGGAAGGACAGGCTACCTGAACAGATAGGGAGTGTGTGCAGTCAGGATACTCAGTGATCAGAGGTCCAGTGCTAAATGGTCACTGAAATATTTGACAATTTGGAGGACTGGAATATGGATGAGCTCAGTGATTTGTAGAAACCCTACTTATAGACAACAGGAGAATGAATGGACGAACACAAATGTGTAAATGAGAAAAGTATGCATTACACAAAAAAACGTGTATTTGTCTGAGACTTGTGACAGGTCATGTAGGTGACAGCAAGATTCTATTACCGTGATAAAACGCTTTTCCCCACTTGCTTGTAGCTGTCTCACATTTTAGCTATGTGGGCTAAATTGCATTTTGGGAGTTCTCAGATCTAGAAAGTTTCTGGCAGAGGTAATTATTTTTAGAAGGAGTCTGGGGAAAAAAAGAAAGTAGTGGCCTTTTGCTTCGAAATGATTTAGCGTCCCTGCATTAGTGGATGAAGGTCTGCCACTGTTTAACAAAGCACAGACATACATGCCTAGAGAACACATTGATTTGTAATGCTATCGTTTGATTATGTATCTAGATTTAAATTATACAAGTGGATGTGTAGCTGAAGTGTTTCTATACAAGGGAGAATCAGAACTAGGAGAACAGCAGATCTGGGCCCTATTTATTCCTAACCTCATGCACCTGAGCTTGACCTTTTTTATCTGAAAAACAAGTACTTGAAATCTTTGGTTAACTAAAGCTTACTGCCATTTTATAAATATGACAATCAAACCAACAAAAACATCCCATTTTTTATGTAAGCTATGAAGCTTGCTGAATCAGATAGACAACAGATGGGATTTTCAAAAACATCTAGCTACATAACTTTGCTCAGAAGCAAATAATTTTTACCTAAGCTCTCTTAAAAGTCTTGCTGGCAGATGATGAATGCTTTACTGAACTTCTGTTCACTGTAAGTCAGAAAAAGAAAAGAGAGACAGAAATTTGTGCAAAATGTCAACACTGTAGAATCATAGAAGTGTCGGTTGGAAGGGACCTCTGGCAGTCAGCTACTCAGCCTCCTGTTCAAAGTGGCATGGTCTGCTGTAAAATGTTCCATTGTAAAAGCAATTTCCCATCAGGTTTCTGACACTCTATTGACTTTTTTGTTTTATATTCTTGTTTTCTGATTTAGAAGCCTTGAAAAATTTTAGAAACCAGTTAACAGTCTATGAGCAAAAAGAAATTTTCAATTATACAGAGCTATGGTTTCTTGGGCTGGAAGCTAAAAAGATTGAAGGTTTGCCTGAAACCCAGAATAATAATTGTTATGATGATGAGCATGGTTCCTACCTAAAGGTAAGTGGAAAAAATTTTGGTATTAATTTTCATCTCAATAAGTTTATAGTGACTGTCTGCCAGGTCTTAAGTGATCCATGTGAGATAAATGTTGTTTCTAGAAGATAAATATTCACATAGTGAAAACATCAGTACCAATCCCTTTAAAGCTCAGAAGCGAATCCTAAAGAGAGACCCACTTTGCATCTGATTCAGGACTGATGCAAGGTAGGTGGATTGATGAAGCATGCACTTGTTATTTTCTCGGTTGCCCTTGTTTAAGGTAGACTTCACTTGCTACCAGTCCAGCTTCTTTCATAGACAGTAAACTCACACACACGTGAACTGCTTTAAAGCCTGATCTTTGTTGTTCTATCTGAATCTGAACTATTTGTTTTCTTTTGAAGGTTTTGCATGACCATATTGCGTACCGATACGAAGTGTTGGAGGTGATTGGGAAAGGGTCATTTGGGCAGGTGGCTAAATGCTTGGATCATAAAACCAATGAATTAGTGGCATTGAAAATAATAAGGAATAAGAAAAGGTGAGACATCTGTTGAGTTCAGATCAGTACAATCAGCTTTTTATTATATAGGCAGTGACAGTCTGGGATAATGGAACAAAGCAAAATCAACCCCCCTGTACATCAGACTTTCATTAATCACAGTGAGGACAGACTGGAGAAAGGTGATGTCAGGGACTCAGAACTGGCCTGGCCCCAGTGAAGACACAGTCTTATGAAAGCAGGTACAAATTCTCCCGATTTACAAGGAGTTCTCTGTATCTGTGACACAGTTAATACACAGCACAGGTAACCAGCCCTGCATGACTGAGAGCCGAGAGCCTACGTTCTCCTCCAAGACACCAAAACCACATGGATAGGCTGGGAGGCTCCAATCACTCATTTTAACATGAAAAATTCTACACTATGGTCCTAAGAAACCTCTTCTTGTTATGTGACTGGCTACAATTTTTAGTTGAGTTTAGCCTGAATCAGAGTCAGTGAAGCAGATGAGAATGATGCTGTTGACTACAGCAACAGAGTTTTTGTTGTTCAGTTTTCCCCCTCAGTGAACATTAAATGTGAATATGCTCTTCAAAACTGACTGACTTACTGTGGTAGGTGTGAAATATGGCCCTGTTCAAGTAAACAGAAGCATTCCTATGAACTTTGAAAGCACTAGGATTTTACTCTGGATGCTCATTTGAGACTGTTTTTCATTTAATCTTTTTTTTCAGACAAGTCAGAATAAATACTCCTAAATGCTATATCAGGCCAGCATATTTAGAGTAGGAAACAACCATAATGAATCAAAGTTACAGTAGTTAACAAAGGTGAATGGTGAATTTTTAATCATTGTCCCACATGTCCAGTTTACAGTAAAACTGTGGTGTTTATACTATTTGTATTGCAATAAACTTAGATTGAGTTAATGGTAACATATCATGTGATATTACAGATTTCACAGCCAGGCTTTGGTGGAAGTGAAGATCCTTGATGCTCTTCTGAAGAAGGACAAGGATGATAATCACAATATCATCCACATGAAGGAATACTTCTACTTTCGCAATCACTTCTGTATTTCCTTTGAACTGCTGGGGTAAAGTATATTTCCCTTTACATGAATCTTAAGGAGCATTGTAGATCTTGTGCCTTACAAGGTTTAATTTTTATGCCTTTTTCGGAAGAATGTACTTCTCTAAATGTTACAGGAAAGCAATACTGTCTAAATACAGACTGCATAACTGAGTCTTTGGTCACCAAAGATAAACTGAAAAAAACCCCATTCAGACTTCATACAGACAATGACATGATCCATCACTCATTTTCCGTGCTGCATATTAAGGTCTTCTTCTCTGAAAGACCTAAGAGGAAAAGAGTAAAACAATGAATTCAGGAGTGGTAAACTTCAGGGTATATGGATATGAATAATAATAAATAATTTTAAAATGTAGCTTCTTCATTCTTTCTATGAATGTGTGCTGCAGGACACATCTTAGGAAGAATTTAGGAGAAAGTTTAGTGAAGTGAGACCATTTTATTCACCAGCCTCCTTGTAATCAAACTGGACTTATGGAGGTGACCCATAGTTCCCCATCCCTTAAAGCAAAGCCCTCATTGCTGCACATGTTAGAACCCTGGCTGAAGATTCATCATCATATGGAAGGCTTGATCTCAAAGAGACCATAATTCATTGTGTTGCTGCATGTGAGTCTGTCACTCACAGACACACAGGGATGAGAGTTGACGCCTTCTTTCCAGGGAAGACACAGACCAGTCTTTGCAGAAAGCTGCTAGGGAAACTTGTAGGAAAATGCTCATAGGATAACCACTGTGTTCAGCTCTTTACAGAAGAGCTGAAGACTGGCTGTCATATAAAAATATTGTTCTGGTGACATTTTTATTGCATCTAAAGTCCAGTGTAAACCTCTTAATTTGTGAACTGTCTTCCTCATCAAGTCCTGGTAACTTCATTTACTCCTGAAGGAATGGGCCTTGCCTGATGCCAGTGGATGCACAAGCGGGGAAGGCACGAAGCTACAGTTGTTTATGTCCTTGCAGATGCACGTGGGAGCTGGAGGCTGGCCCTGCTGCAGTGTCACTGGGGCAGGGGCTGATGGCCCCAGGGGGCTGACATGGGGTCCTGGGCTGCAGGCAGCTGCGGGGACTCCCATGATGCTGGGCAGGGCAGTCAAGGCTGGTGGGGCCCTCGGGGCTCAGCAGCGTTTAGATGTTGCCAGCCATGCTTGGCAGTAGCCAGCAGCATCATTTATGCACTACTGGGAGGACCAAAGAAATGGTGGTGACTGGAGGGATACAAAGACCTAACAAGACCTGAATTTATGGGGGTATTTATCTAGAATTTTTTACTGCTGATTAAAGACTTTCAGACAAAAAGGATTTACATGAGGTGTCAAAACAAAAACATATGAGAATGAAAGGAAACTGAAGAAAATTTATTTCTCTCCGTTCCTGAATGATAGTTGTTCTTGGTGAAAAACAGCACAGCCACATAACATAACACTGAGTTTAGCAAGCAAATAAGTCCACGGACATAGTTTCTTCTTTAGATCTGGGGGCTCAAAGAGATGTTTGTGTGCATTACATGCAGAAGAGCATTCTCAAGGAGGAAAATAGCCAAGTCATTTTCTTCTGCGTGAGTCCTCCCTCATGTAGGAAGACAGGCTAAATATTCTCTTAATGCACTGTAAACTAATCACGCCTTTAAAAATAAGTTCCCTAATCTCTTTTCTGCTTTCTGTCTTCTTCCACCCCCACAACCGCTGCAGAATAAATTTGTATGAGTTGATCAAAAAGAACAATTTCCAAGGCTTCAGTTTGTCTTTAATTCGACACTTCACTCAGTGCGTGCTGAGATGTTTACAAGTGCTCTACCAGGAAAGAATCATTCACTGTGATCTGAAGCCTGTAAGTACAGTCATTGAATAACCTATTATTCTGTACAGAATACATTAGCTTCGTCTAATTTTTTATCAATCAAGAGGAACTCTCAGAAGAATCCTTAAAACCTGGTAGGGTATTTGTACAGAAGCTATAGTTTATATCAGACTGTTTTAGTACTAGAGTGATTCTTTCCATTGATTTCGTTCATTCACTGCAGTATTATATGACATTATCTGGTTGCCAAAATGTATTCAAATATGAATCAAATTCAGATAATGACTTTTTGCCTAGCGAAAGAAAAAAGTACTTGTAAATTATGTATTTCAGTATAAGGGACATTATAATGCAAGGAAATATTCACAAGACAGCCTGTTTCAGGTTATCCTATTCAGTGTATTTAATTTCATATGTATAACTATAAAATTAAGTAGCCTACTAAATGACAAAGCAATTCTATAGTACAGTATTTCGGGTGCTTACCTGTTTCTGGAGGAACATCTGTGATCCAATTCCTGCTGCTGTATCTGCTAAGCATTCATGCTAGGTGAAACACTTCCTTTCTCCTTAAGACCTAATCTTTATTTTTTGCAATTTTCTGAGATTTCTAGAGTATTTTAATTCTATTTCATTTCAGGTGAAAGTTTCTCTTGATTTCTTCTTCAAAACTGCAAATGAACCAATAAATAAATCAGGATTCAAGTAAAAATGCTAAGGATGAAATTCTGCTCTCACTTTGCTTAATGTAGCTTGACTAAGATGTCTAAAGAGTCACATGCTGCCTGCACCCCTTGTCTTCCAACATCTTTGCCAGACTAATTTCCAATGAGAAGTGAGGCTTAAAAGATAACCACCATAACTTAATCTGAAGCAGTTAACCCAACGGGAAATCTGTTTCCAGGCAGCCACTGACAAGGAATGTGGTTGGCAAGATCCATGAGTGTAGTCTGTTTTTAGAGTAACATATTAGTGAACATGTAGTGAGTTAACTAAAAGAGAATTGTGTTCTCATTCTACAATTGTACTGTTTCATTAATTTACGTTGCCTGAAATTCACATCTGTTATTCCATCTGCCTCCTATGATATTTCTTAACATAAGATAGAGTATGGAGTTTCTTTGGACTTCATGCTAGGTAACCACTGTCCCCAGAACCTGATTTTGCAGTTAATCAGCTCCCTTGCACTGTGAGGGATTCGGTATTAGAGACAGAGTCCTACCATGAGCATGAAGGGCTAGAACCAAGAACACCTGGGTGGTGGAAATCAGTACTTGCCTTGACTTTCATCAGTAGCAGCTTCTCCCTCCTGTCACACACAGTATTTCCTTACGAGTACACTAATTAACCAAGAAATTACTTTGTTGTTATTTGGCATCAACCTGGGAACTGCTCAGTCCTTCAAACTTTGCCGTATAGTCACTTTAAAACTCCTTGATAAAAGTAGCCATCTCTCTCATGGGAAGTGAAGAAGACTTCAGAAAGGAAATAAAAGGAAATCCTTTATTTAGATAGATTTTTAATGAGGATAAAATTCAACTCTTCAGAGGAGAGCTAATAGGCTATGTTTACTTATCAGTGCAAATATTCCTGAGCCAGCTGTTTAAGAATCACTTCGCAAGCTGGAATTGTAGGCACACAGGGCTGTACCCATCTCCACCCAGCTAATAATCCATAGGACCCTACCATTTCTGTTCATCACTGCCTTGGGATCTCTGCCTCACACTTTTGTGAGGTGGACAGAGGTATGCCTACAGAGAGTCTGGAGAAAGCTGAAAGCAGCAAAGGGAAGAACTGTTAAGTACATCTTGTTCACGGGGAAGGGGTTTTCTGTGGTTACAAAAGGATGTTTCTGGTTAATTTAGCACAGCATGCAACCAGATGCAGTTTGCCTATTGCTAGATTAACAACAATGAGTTTTGGGGAGCTCACTTTGCTCACATGGCAAGCATCTCACCGGCTGGCGCCTTGACAGCACCACACACTGCGCAGTGCCTTGACTTGGACTGTATGTGAAGGACTAGTGTCCCTGTCTAGCTAACCTTCAAACTGGATACCTTTACAAATCTCCCCTCTGCTTTGGTTAATTGCTCATTATTGGATGCCTACTCATGTTAGCAGATCCGTTCCCAAGGAAATTGTAGTTTGAAGCTTTTAATACGCGGACAAATGTAAACCCAATGTGTTATGCATTGCTGATTTTCCAAAGTGTTCACTAACCTAATGTAGTGTTAAAACCCTTTTTTCCCTGTGATTTTTTTTTTCTCTTTAGGAGAACATATTATTATACCACAAAGGCCAAGGTTCAGTTAAAGTTATTGATTTTGGATCAAGCTGCTATGAACACCAAAGAGGTTTGCAGAAAAGTCAAGTTGATGTAATTTTCTTAATAAGCTTTCTTAATTTTAAATAACATGGAAAAACTATTTCTTTGTTTGAGCTAAATAGTGACCTATGCCCCTAATTAGAATCTGATGAACTCTTCAGCCACTGGTGGTGGAACAAATACTCATAGGAGACAAGTAAGGTATTACCTTGCCTGATCAGCTCCGCTACTCCTATTGAAATCAGAATTGCATTTGCAAGAGTGGTTAGCTGAAATAGGCCTGTAAGAATAATCCCAATACTTCTCTTAAGAAGGAGTTTATCAGGTCCAGAGAGCCTTTCTCAGTGGGATGGTTAAATTACAATTGGTGCTTTTTGGAGGAATACAACAGGGGTAATGGGAACTATGCTTTTAGTTTGGAAAGTCTATGTTCAGTTTTATTCTTCTTCTATCAAAGTTTTAAGCAGAAAGTACAGGAGATAACACAGACAAAATTTGCAAAGAAGAAATGAATGTATCAAAATTCACCTAACAATAAATCTTAACATTAATAGATATATTGTAAAGCAAGAATGAAATCATCATTAGGAATGTAAATCTCATCTGTTAAAAAAAACCCAAACACAATAACAAAACCCAAGAAAGAAATATGCACTGCATTTTATTAATTTAGAAAAATAAAACTAGTCTTAAGTGGCTCATGTTTTTCTTCTGAAAGACTGATATTTAAGCTGAGCCAAACCTGTTCACCTGTATTTTGGAATTCAGATCATCAGATTTACATCTCATTTTTGTCAGATTACGTAACCATTTCAGGTTTGCCCATGTTTGAGTAGAATGTAATTGGAGATGCAGCCTGAAATGTTTGCAGAGAGTAGCAAATTGAAACACAAAAAAAGTGAAAGGAAAGAGGGAGCATGACTGAGGCATCTCTGTCAGTTGAAAGAAGAATTGGTGCAGTCCTCAGAATGGTACAAGATTAGAGAGTAGAAAGCAAAAAGTCATCTATTTGTTTGTGAAAAGAACGACAAAAAGCAGACAACAGTTATGCAGTTGGTCAAATGCACAAGGGCACAGATTGCCACCACGGTACTCTCTAACTGTACAGATCTGTTGAAATCACATATAGCGCAGCACGCACTTTTTAGGGCGTTTTCCTTCCAGAAAGGTGTTGAATATGTGGGGATGCAAAGAAGTGCAGAAATATAAACAAAGTGACCATCGGAGAGAGAAGAATAAGAAAATGACAGAGTTTGCGTGTTGTAATTGTATTCAGTTGTCTGAATGACAAGAGGTAAAAGAATTAGTCTACTCACTATGATAAGTCCCAATTTTGGAATGAGATCTTTTGACATCTGCTGTGGGGCTATAATGCATTAATGAGGAAATCAGAAGGAGTAGGACATGTTCCCTATATGTCAACATCTGCTGTGGGGCTATAATGCATTAATGGGGAAATCAGGAGGAGTAGGACATGTTCCCTATATGTCAGTGCAACCAGCATTTCCTACAGTGCAAGCCTGTGATAATGAAGAACTATTGATTGATGCAAGGGGAAGACCTCTAAACAGGAAAATTAAGCTGGAGTAAGCTGAATCACAGCATTAGTAGAATAATTTCTTTCAGTAAAACTTATTGAAGAAGATTTTCTGAATAGAATAGTGGAAAGCATATCACCTATTGATTTTAGGATGAAATTGGAAAAGGTTTTCAGAGCCTATGTGAGCAATCCCTTAATGGCAGCTAATAGATAGAGCAGATATATGATGCTGAATGTGTATTTCACTTTTCTGTAAAATCTGGAATCCACATTTCTGTCCCGTTTATGACATTTTGCTTCTTGTCTAATTTGCTGTTTTGATATAGTGTACACCTATGTTCAGAGCCGGTTTTATCGCTCGCCTGAAGTGATTCTTGGTCATCCTTACGCTATGGCTGTTGATATGTGGAGCTTAGGCTGTATCATGGCTGAGCTTTACACAGGCTACCCACTGTTTCCAGGGGAAAATGAAGTTGACCAGCTTGCCTGCATCATGGAGGTAACTTTTTCGATTGTGTTTTGAACTACATACTCATATGATAAACTAAAATGCCAGCAACAAAGAGAAATGTCAAGACATGATGAAGTATATTTGTCTATGGGATGACCTTTTAGAAGGAAGTTGATTACAGCCAAAGGGCTCTTTGAAAGGATGGGCTGTAATGCAAAACAGATATTTCCATTTCATGTGCCAAACACTGCTTTGTACACTCACTGTCTTGCTTTTGAAGGAAGCAGATTACAACCTGGTCAGAGTTTGTACGGAGAGGGTAGAACAGAAGAAGCATATCTCAGGAGAAGAAAAGCAATCCAATTACAACAGGCTCATCTTCTCTTAGAAATCGTATATGTGTTGGTTGAACTATATCTCCTTAGTCCAAACTCCTGCTGAGAGAGATAGCTTTGCTAGCATTTGAGTAGTCAACTGTGTCTTTGTCTCGCAAATCTTGAAAACTGCAAAGGCTTGTGAAGAAACTCTCTGGGGCCTGCTCAGCTGCTGCTCTACTCTCCTGGTGGAAAGGTTTTCCCTAATAGTGACCCTGAACTTCTCAAGCCACAGTTTGTGATGTTGCCCCTTCTTATCCTGTCTGTCTCTACCAAGGAGTTTGGCTCTGTCATCTTTGTAACTGTATTTCAAAGAGTTTTAGGAAAGTACTATGACATCTCCTACCTCAGATCACCTACCCAGTGCAAATGTTAGAGTAGGTGCAAGACTGACCCATGAAAGCAAGTTACCTGGTTACTCTCCATACCAATCAATAAACTGCAGCCTGATTTGAACTCAGGCCCAAGTGCTGATCCTTATAGTCCCATGTTATTTTGTACAAGAGTTGTCAAAGACAGTATCTCTCTGTGGCCTCCTACATGTGTCATGAACAGAGATGCTTGTTCTTAGAGTCTTCTGTGGTAGGGAATATCCCAGTGTCATCCTTTATAAGATCACGTTTTCTGTGCGCAGACAGCTCTGATGAATCTCTTAATTCCTTCTGCAATAAACGACACTAGAGGAAATGGTTTGTAGACATTTCACAGTAAATTGCGACATTCAATTTCTTTATAAATGGATGGTGCAATACCACATCTGTCCTGACGGTTGTTATGTGTGCTTATGAAACGAGGAATAACTCCATTAATTCATTTTCTGTGTTGAAGGTACTGGGCCTTCCACCAGCTGATTTTATCCAGGCTGCATCAAGGAAGAGAACGTTCTTTGGTAACTGCTTCTGATTGTTTGCCCTTGCTGGAAGTTAATCCCTAGCTAATAGCACTGGTAGAGAGGAGGGTCAGAGAACCGTAGCTGCTTCTTAGCTGACAAAACTTCTCTCAGGAAGAGGTATTGAGGAGGAGAAGAAGGGTAGCATGAGGCTTACAAATTAACCTGGTACTGTGCTCTTCATGACTTACGGGCCTCTCATTGCCGAGGTGATAGGGAAGGGATTGGGAAATCCATTGCACTGTTACCCCTTATAAACATTATTACTAAAAGGAACACAGTGGGCTTTGAGATTAAGTTCATTCCTCTGGATATAATTTGATTTTGGAAATTACACAAAATGAACAAAAACACAGTGCATGATGCAGTCCCTAGGATGTAACCAATTCTGTTTGCCACAATGCTGGCAGACTATCAATCCAAAAGGGCAAAACCGGAGCTAGTGGGATGGATATGGATACTGATTATGCAAATAGCTTAAAGATTTGGTAAGCATTTTTAACATATTTTTTTGAGTATGCCTTTATTTTTTTTAAGATTCCAAAGGTTTTCCTAAATCCATAACCAACAGCAAGGGAAAAAAGAGATGCCCAGACTCCAAGGATCTAAGCACAGTGCTGAACACCCATGATGCTGGTTTTTTGGACTTTCTGAAAGGATGTCTAATGTGAGTTCATACCTTTGACTTATTTGCAGCAGGCTAGTTTTGACTTTGCTTTCATTCTCTTGTGCCTTTAAAATCTTTATATCTGTTGGGTTTTTTGGTGGGGTGTTTTGGTATTTTTTTTTTGTGTGTGTGTATGTGATTTTTTCCTCACAGTAGCATTTGGAAAACTATTATGATTCACAGCTTATTGCAGGGAGAAATTGCACAAAAATACTATATGGGATTAGTCCAAGGTACAAAAGAAAGCTGACATCATCATATCTAAAAGCAGATCTTCATCTTCTGATGCTGGAGACTAAACTCTAAAAGCAAAGTCTCTTACCCATTGAGGCCTTTTTACTAAGTCCTTTTTGTTTTATCTGAGATAAATGTTCATTCAGATAACACAGATAATGGTAATGCACTGTCCTAAGGTAGTGCATATCTGGACATCAAAGTTTGGTTTTGTACATAAATCTAACTCCCGCTCCAGCGGGAAGAAAATCTTCTGATTTCCTCCAGCAGGAGTTATATTTGGAGCTGCCACGGCTGGCTGGAATGTCTTGACTGTATTTTCTGTGCTAGGCCTTGGAAATGGCAATCAGGTGATGCGCTGTGGTATCTGTATGAAAGCAGTTCTGCTTCTCTGAAGGTCTGCTCACAAAGGTCTTGCTCTCTGCGTGCATGTTGCCTTGGGTGAGATTAGACTCTTTTTAGTTCCAATACACCATAACAACTTCCTCTTGGCACAGGGTAAAAAGGCAAAGTACATCCAGCCATCTCTCCACCCCAGAATCAATGGTATTGTTTTCTTGCTGCTTCTTGACTGTGGTAGTTAGTGTGGAGAATTACTTCGCGCAGGTACCAGAGTGTTATGTTGTAGTTCGCATGCTGATTTAAGCCCCTTCTCTCCTTATCATAGTTATACTTATTTTTCATTGGCAGCAGTCATATTGCACATTTCAAGAATTATTTGACAGACTATATTTTTCTTTTGATTGGAATAGATTTTTATAAATCGCTGGAGCTCAGAATGCGAGAAGAATCTCGTATGTCTCAGATCCTGTCATTTCTAGGATAAACTGCTGACTTTACTCCAGTCAAGGATTTTGCTGCTGGATACCTAGTAGGACAAGTGGTCCACAGCTGTTTTCCTAAGGGAAATTGATGATTTGCACATGTCTGTAAACTGCTAAATGCCAATAACATGCAATTGTTAACAGTCTTCACAGACGTTAGAAATACCACAGATTCTCTGTGCTGGGAACATTTTACCTAGTATCACAGAAGAATTTAGGTTGGAAGGGACTTCTGGAAGTCATCTAGCCCACCCTCCCACTCAAAGCAGAGCAAACTTGGAGCAGGTTGCTCGGGACCTTGTCCAGTTGGGTTCAAAGTTTCTCCAAAGAGGGAGATCCATGGCCTCTTGGGGCAACCTGTTCCAATGGCGAACCAGACTCATGGCGAGAGTGTCAGCAGCAAAGCATCTCTGTGTTTGTGTGGGGGAAGAGAGACGTGATTTAGTGTCACCTGCGTATCATCTGTTACCACAAAGTAAGTGGGACTTTTCAATAAATGAAGTACTGTGGTAGAAGCAAAATATTTAATGGATCACACATGATCATATCTCTTTTCCAAGGCAGTCAGATTACTAAGCATTTTACAGGCTGGGACTCCATGGACCCTGCTGATATAAGGTGTCATTTTACTAATAGGTCTTTTTGCTTGGGAGATGGTTACTAATGAGGTTTTACTCGTGCATCAAGCTAAAAGACTGAGCATGCGGGAACAAACTTTTGTCTGGTTACTTTAAATATTGACCTCTTGCATAGGTGCAATAAGGTTCTTGGGGTAAGCTTGGATCCTAATTTGTGCTGTGTAATGACAGCAGAAGCTGGTCCCATACCTTTTCAATTGTTAACTGTATCCCCTGCAAGGCTAATATTTTGTGTCTTCATTAGCACTGACTGTAGGTTTCTTTCTAGCAGTGCAGTAGTATGTTCCTAAAGAAATCTATGCTAACTTGTGGATACATGAAAAAAAAATCATCCCTCTCTGTTTCACAAGAAGATTGCTTTTAATGTTCTCTATTTGCTAAATCTGTATGAATCATTGGTCCATTTTGGTTTGCTGGCTGCATCAGAACATTCAGAAAATAAATTCAGCAAAGCGAAAGAAAACTGTAAACAAGTCATTTCAGGCCACACAGAAAGAAATGTTATATGTTGGGATTGTTTAAATTTTCAAAGGAATGAAGTAAGGTTTGAAATGAAAACTTTTTGAGACAAAAGAATTGAACTATTTTGTCTTTTTCAGTTGCCAGGCTGTGTCTGTCCAAAGAAATTCACTCAGCTCTTACCAGCACAAGGATCTGTTTGTGTTCCTACATCATTTCTGTACTGTTCTGGACAGCACTGAGATTAGATGAATCAGAATGAAATAGTCTGCAATTGGTGTAGAGATTAGTAACAGGAATATTAGGATTGATATGAATGCAGTACGAATGGACATGTATGTGTTTTTAAGCACTGGATGAAACAGCAGAACAGGGATTGAAAGAATGACATGTATTAGTAACAAAGGACACTGCTCCCACCTGTAAAACCGGGGAGCGTGTTGTCTGTGTCACAGCCAGGAAGCCAGCACTCCAGTGAGACCACAGCACAGGTGACCAGCAGTGAAAAATCGCAGCAAAGCTCACAGCAATTGCATAGCGACAGGGTTGCAGAATATCACATAGGCCATTCATTCTCCTGTTAGCCCAAAAGGAAAACAAAGATATATATTCCGAAATGCAAGGAAAAACAGACCCTGCCTTGCCTAACATTGATGGAGACTGAAGTCAGAAAGGTTCTGATGTGAAGGACCATGCCAAAACAGCAGGTGACTCCTAAAGGGTAGAAAAGATCTGTCTGAAGACTAGTATATCGTCACCAATCAAGAAGAACCCCAGAGATGTGCTGAGGGCCCAGTAGGTGACAACCCTTGTCCTCCACGTGATACACAAGTGATCTTGGCCAGAACACTTGGTACTCGTGAGTGTGTGGGTGTGAGAAATGAGTGAATGAAACCTGTAAGAGGATAAAGTCAATGTAGAGACTTTGGAGAGGAAATCACCTTTCATTTCCATAATAAGATCTTACATTACTTTTGTTACACTAAGTCTCTACAGTAGTTTCAGGTACAGTTAAATTGGGGAAGACATATCTTTCAAAGAATTACCCTATGTCTCATGTGTGTTCCCTTTCTTGGAGCTTGTATTGACAGAACATGAAAACTTTGAAACAAGTATTCTGTAGGATCCCTACCCTAATAACACTGTGAACTGCATATTTTTTCCTTTAAAAATGGTTTGATGCTGCAGAGGGTTATATCAGCAAAGCACAGAATGCTGAAGTAAATAAAAAGTTTAGAAGAACGGGGAAGATCACAGAAGTTTTTTCCTTGTTTTCAGTTAAAATTCTTTTGCTTCAAAAAATGTCTTCATGACGTTTTTCAGGAGACAATACTGACTCTTTTAGGTTAAACTGACTTTCAGTTAGAGCTACTGTTAAATAACTATTTGTCTGCCATGGATTTAAGGTGGGACCCTGCCCTGCGCATGACTCCCGATGAAGCAATGAAGCATGAATGGATCCAGGAACCAAAACTACACAGAGCAAAACAGAAGACACAGACTTCAAGCAAGCTGAGTGATGGCTCTTTCTGTACACCAGAAAAGGAAAAAGAGAATATTCGTAAGCATGTGCTACCTGGATAACTCAGTGCATTTATATTAGTGTTTGATATTTCTTTAATGTCATCTGTCTGAAGTAAGGTGAGGTGGTAGTACACAGTGTGCAGATAATGGATGGTCACTGGGGTGTGGTGGACAAAGCCACTATTTCTCATTTCTGTACAAATCCATTACTTATGTTTTATAGCAGCTGCCACCAAGAAGACTGGCAGTACTAAAAATTCACTCAGAAAGTTCTTTTCCCCACTGACAGCAAAATAGTTGTGGTAACTGACACCACACCACAGTGCACTTCACTTTGAGAGCAAAAGAATGCATCAATGGTGGTTGTAAGACCCCAAAGAAAATATTCACCTGATTTTTTGTGAATTTGTGGCAATCATGTATTTATCTGCTGTTAAGAGTCTGAACTCTTACCCTATTATTTTATTTGTTTATTATTACAGAAAATATCTGGAAAGATACAGCTGACAAAGTGGAAAGTGAACTGGCTGAAAGACTGACTCCCACTGTGCCCTCCACAAGCACAACGGAAAATGATGGACAGAACACAAGGAAACATGTTATTCCAGAGAAACATCTGGAAACGCAAAAGGAAAAGCCTATAAAAACTTACCAGGCAGAACACAGTTGTGAAACAGCTCTTCCAAAAAATTCTCTGTTTTTCCCACCTATTAAGTAATACACAGCACAACTGATGACTGGTTCAGTTGCATACCTGGTATATTTTGTAGGTACTATTTGTACTCAGGAATATAAGCTGTATCTGTGCACATTGTAAGTATATTTAATGTTCATTTTACCCTGAAATAGTCCACGCAACCAAAACAATGTGAAAACCATTCCTTTTCCTCGTCTACATCCTTGTTGTTGTCAGAGATCCTTCACCATCAGCAGCAATAAAATGGAGACTGTAGAGGTGGAGAATGGCTTATTCTTGATGTTATAATAGAATTTTAGATTTTTCTGGGCTAAAAGAACATACGCATTAATTCAAGAATCTGAATCCTTTCACTTGCATCAGCGTAAATCAGGATTAATTCATGGACAGGATTACTGGATTTACTTCTGTATAAAAAAAATAAGAGAAATCAAACCCAGCGTCTTCACTTTCCTCCTCTACTTCCCACTTTTTTATAGTGAAGCACTAGATGGAAGTCATTGTCACACCTTCCTAGCAGATTTAGAAATGAAAATGATGTGCTTTACCTCTTCAGCAGCAACAAAGAAGAGTGATATTCTGGACCCGCTTTTGCAGGGACTCGACTCAGTATTCACACCAACAAGAAGGATGGATTGAAGCAAGCTGTTTTCATTCAGGGAAATTCTCCTCCACAGGAAATTTAACTTGATACTCTGAAAAACGCAGATTTCTATGGTCCCTATGATTTCTACGTTTAATTTAAGCATTTAGCTCTTTGGACAATAGACTGTCTTTTCATTGCATTTGTAAAGCACCCACCTCGTTATGACCCTTACACTTTACTGTGGCTTATAGAGAGCACCTCATTCTAAAAGGAAATAATGAGGAAATTGTCCTACAAAACGCAGCTGTTCCTGCAGCAGTGATATTGCAATAGTCCCAAGAGGAAGAGGCGTTCGCAGAGTCACCATAACAGCAAAATCCCGCAGGCTCTTTGTGCAAAAGGAAAACCCAAAGGATATGAAAATGGTCCTCATACAGTTCTAACGTAACAGTGAGTAAAGAAGCCATCTGGCAGGGTACAGAGGTGACCGCGGGACAAAAGGCCGACAGCAGGTGTGCTCTCCTACTGAATAGAAAGTTCATAGTAACAGTCGTCTTAGAGAAAATGGACTGCACAATGCAGCGTGACCATTCCCTTGGCTTCAGGCAAATCCTGGGACTCATGAAGCAACACCTGGAAGACGAGGGACCCAAGCAGGGGCCCATTACTGAGCATAATTGAGCAGTAAATTACAAGGGTATTTTGGCAGACAAATGTCATCCTGCTGTGATGCAGGCATTACTGACAAGCAGGCCAGCTTGCAGTACCAGAATTGTCTGTACCTGTGGTTTCAGAGAGACGACTCTGCAGCTGAAACCTCCTGGAGACTATAAAACGCTCCCACTCATCGCCAGAGGGATGTACCAGGAGGAGTTCCGTTAGGCACTGCGTTTCGGTGGTTGCACAGAATACCCAGGGTGAGCGAGCATCTTGGAGAATGTGGGCAGAGCTCTCACCACATTTCAGAGTCCCACCCCTGCTGGGAGCTGAATGAAGGAGTTAGATTCATCATCAGTTTTAGGGAATATTTAGATACGCTTTTGCAGATATTTGGAAAATACTTTGGCTGTTTGTTTGCAAGTAACAGGGAAGGAGCAAAGGGTTTAGGTGCAAGGGTTCAGTGTGGACTAAGAATTCAAGACTACTTATCCTGACACCACTGAACATAGAAGGTCAGATCGTTCTATCCTTTGAACTGTGATTTGTACTGTTTTGATTCTGTTGCTGTTCATTCTCCATCTCTGTTGTGGCACATTGACTTGACTGCTTAGGCAGCTCCAAGTTAAAATAACTGTCCACTCACAATTGTGCATTTGTGTATCTGTCTGCTCTACCTCAGAGGCCAAGTTTGGGGTTAATAATACCAAGTTGCTCTTGATAGTATTTCTTAGTCCTGATGAAGCTGTCAGCCTCATTTGATACACAGGCGTGTGTGCTGGAGCCACATTTTCTTCACAGTTAATACACTTCCACAGCTTTTGGTAGTAAGCAGCATCATATTACTTCTCATGGCATATGCTGATGGGTATTTCAAGGCATTCATAGAGTTGAAGGAAAAGCAACAAAGACACCTGAGACTGAAATTCAGTTTGATTTTCCTTCTATTCACAGAAGGCAGACAGATGGCGTTTTACTACAGCTCGCTGGCTGTCTTCTAGCCTGCCTTCCCTTCCCTGCTGACCTGCTGTCCTTTCTTAATTCCTTCAGCCTCCACAGCGATTTCCATATTCAAAATCTTACCTAATAAGGGCTCTTTTAGATAACTGTTCGATTTTTTTCACAGATGACAGAAATAAAGAGAAGTGACTTGGAAGAAAGATCTAGCCCTCAGATATCATCACTGCTTTCACATTCCTCTGCAGAAGGAAGTAGATCCATCAGATACATGTAGCATCCTCCTTTCTCTGCTGTAAGCGGACAGCCTTCAAAATGTTGGGAAGATTCCTCTGACTCCTGCTCTGCTTGAGCCACCCACAAACTGGTAATGGAGCAGACTCACAGAAAAAAAAAAAACACTGAATGAGGAAGTTACTTCATCATCAAGCCCAAACTATGCACCACATTTTGTTTCTATATGATGTAGTGCCATTTTTTAACCACAATGGCCAAGAAAATGAGGTGACTGCTTTCTTGTCTGTCTCTGCACGTTGGTCTGCCTGTCTTCCAGTTGGTGTCCTCTTCCCCGTTAGTACTTGAACTTATTTACAGATACTAGCTGAGGCAGGCAGAGGAACAGCGTTCTCAAAACTGTTTGCTTCTGTATGCTACAGCTGACAGAGGATTCAAGTCAGAGGACCCTATGAGTGTTACCAGGGATCAAAAGGCAGGAGAATGGGGTCATGGTCAGTTCTTCTGACCCACTGAGCAGTGTGAGAACGCTGGCTGCCCAGGGAGCACGTGCATATTTCTGTGTCACTGTAAGGATGTGCTGCCCTTGCCCAGGAGCCAGGCCAAATAAAAGCCAGTAGGGGATGTGGGACATAGAAAAAGCTGGCCATTTTGGAGCAGAAATAACTGCTTTGGGCTGTAAGTCTACAAGGGGCATCGTGGTGTGGGGAAGTGCTGGGAAATCGTGTCATTGAGTTGAAGTGAAGCTGCAGGAACCAACACTGTGCAACAGCGAGTGTGTACAGGATGTTGGACACAAATCTGTAGGAAACCAAGCTGTGAGAACACAAAGGCTCTGTGAACAAGCTTTTGCACTGCTTCTGTCTTTGAAACCTCATTATGAAATTGTTGTCTCTAAAAAATCGTGATAAAGCATGCTCCTATAGGCCCTGCTGCCTTTCTGGAATTTAATGCATTTTGACAAAACTGCAATTCACCACCCCTCCTGGGAGGCTGCCCAAGTATAATTGCTGTAAGTCACTGCCAGAGCCCAGACCAGACCACGGGGATCCTAACAGTCGTGCTATGCTCTTCCTTGTGCTGGATCCTGAAGTTAGTTCTTTTAGGGTGTCAGGAGGATGGGGCCAAACTCTTTTCAGTGGTGCCCAGCGACAGGACAAGGGGCAATGCTGCCCTCTGGGGGTGACGGAGCCCGGGCCCAGGCTGCCCAGGGAGGTTGTGGAGTCTCCTTCTCTGGAGATATTCCAGACCTGCCTGGACGAGGTCCTGTGCAGCCTGCTGTAGGTGACCCTGCTTCCGCAGGGGGGTTGGACTGGATGACCCACAGAGGTCCCTTCCAACCCCAAACATTCTGTGATTGTTGTTGATAGTCAGGGTCGATAAAGATATCATCTGCAACCATCTTGAAACACCGCAATCCTAATTCACGTAACGAAGAGGTGCAGCTCGCTGTGAGGTGTTGTCTATAAACTGGTTTCAGATCCTTCACTAATGTTCCAATGCCATCTAGTGTCACTACAGGTTCCTTATATCCGGAATGTATTGCTAGTGGCTGTTCTTGAACTCCCCTCTCCTGTAAAAGCGTAAGAATCCAGCAAATAGATCTCGTAGAACAATGTGTGACAGTGGTGGGGTCCTTGTTTATCTCCAGAATGTTGTGTCTTGACCTGAGATTTCAGGGTTATACCCCAACCCAAATAATAATAAAGAAAAGCACCCTACATTATGTAAGTGTAGAGCTGAGCCATGAGAATGCAGCAGTATGTCTACACCGCACTGAAATAAAGAGTGAATTTAGCAATTGCTTCAATGAATCAACACAGTCAAGGAACTCGTAGAACAAAGTACAAGGAACCTAAAGCAGAGATTTTGCAGCTTTCTCCCCCCTGCCCTCATTTTGCACTGATTTGATTTCACAAAGCACGATGCGCATAGAACATGCTGTGACTCCTGACATCTGTATGAATAATCAGGGATCATCTGCTCTGGGGCAAGGTGCTAACCAAGAGTATAAATTATTTGCAACGCTGGCTTTTGTCTACGTGTCAAAGCTTAAATATCATTTTGTGAGAAAAAAAGTTAACGTTTGTCACACTAGACAGATTAAAGCCATTTGAATTTCTCAGTCTGCAGAGAGATTGACACAGAAACAGATAAACTGGTCCCATTATTTCCAGATTATTTTTTCTAAAGCATAACTGTCATAGTAAAATCATTGGTAGGCCAAATGAATTGAAGAGTTACGGTAATTTGCAATAAGGAAAATCTAGGAAGATTGAAGCTCTTAGAAATGAAGATTTCCCAATGGTCAACTCTGTGAGATCATGCTCCAAGGAAATTACGTGCATGCTGCGAGAGTCAATCACTTGTTTAACAGGAGTATTGGACAGAGAAAGCACTAAGAATTATGTCCAGCAAAACACCCGGTCTTGTCTGTTACTTCCTTGCAGCTTCTTTGTGTCAGCACCGGTATCCACGTGGCACTGCACTCTGTGGGATGGATGTAATGCAGATTATATACAGGGAACAGGATTGCACAATAAATAATAGTAAAAAGAGGTGTTACAGTCACTCTTTATCATTTAAG